AAAAAAAAAAAAAAAAAAAAAAAAAGAAGAGGCAGACTACATTTCTTTCCTGGTACTTTCATGAATTCAATAAAAACATAAAGATAACTCCACATTAATTGAAGTTATATTTGTAATTTAGTTTTGCTTCCTCCTAAGCAAAAAGTAACCTATGCTTACTTGCAAAACTTGTCTCCCGCAATATATTCTCAAAAATAACCTATGCTTACTTGCAATTGCATCATTTAAAAAGTAAACTTCAGCTTCTTGTTAAATCAGCAATGAAGAGTGAAATCAATGTTAGAAGAAAAACTTAGGGAAATAAAAGATAGAAATATGACGGCAACTCTAAATTTTATCACGGTGCCTTATTAGATATATTCCATCTTTAAAAATTTTATTATTTAAAAATAGGACTCCTAATAAACTTTAGTTTGTTGTTTATGGTTAACATAATTAAATTGGGCGAATACACCCGATGCGGGTAAATTTTTACCATGTTGGAACTATTTTCGTGTAAAAATACTTTCTATAAATCCGAACCTATATGGAGAAGAAACAATGTGATCCGGATGCAGCACACACTCAAATACAACAGTGCTTATGTAGTACTTATTTTGCATCTACTAGTGTCAGTAACTCTTCAGTACGTAATTGGGGACCCTATATATGTACGCAAAATCTGATTATATATTCCCGTGTTGAATTTTCGCTCCTTGGATGTATGCCAAAACACCATGTTGAATAAGTTACGTTATATCGGCCAAGTTCAACTAGTAATTGCCAATCTCTCACAGGTGTTTGTACAATATCCAATGTACATATCCACATTCATTCTGCTAACACAAATAAATCTAAACGTCGTATTCCCCTACCGGGGTGGACCAACCCAACTAGTGCTCTTTTTTTCTCTAGGGGAAAAACAAGCTTAATCAGCTAAGTTTTACATCACATACCATGCGACACTGTACTCTTTTGGGGTTTCTTTCCATGAGATATTTCTGAAGAATAATCATAAACGCTCTTTAATTTTAGAAAAGACCGGACAGAATTTTAAATGCCTATTTTGATTCAATAAAACGTACTAACTTGCTCAACTGGTCAAAATTGAAATGAGAGATTAGATTATGACCTGACCTATTACGTCTTAATTCATTGTGATCTAATTAACAAACATTGAGAGCGATGAACCATGAATAATATGGTTCAATACTCAAACCATTGTAATTAGTTTATATTTGATTCAATCTGGCTATTTGAACCTTAGGAGTGACAAATATGACATAGTATTAAACAGTAAGTTGCGCATTTGAGTTAACTGGTTGAGTTATAAACAAACTTTCAAACGACTAGGGTCAGACGATTTAATATTTAACTCGACGTTGAACGAAGTGATGGAGGAATGGAACAGTAGCGACAGCACGCAAAACAGAAGAGAAGCGTCGAATGGAGCAATTCATCATTATCCTTTAAATAAATTGACCTGCAAAACAGACTCAGGATAGTATAGCGACAAAAGAGCTTTCATAGATGCGGCGAACATGCGCTGCAGCTGCTGGATCAGATGACTTTGACACGTATCCTTAGACTTACACTTGTTCCCTATCTACATATTATCACAATTGGCAACAACAAATGATGGTTATCCTCAATTCTTCCGAGAAAGCTGTGATACTTTTTGCCTTTAATTTCTGAGATATCTAATACTTGCAAGCTCAACCATGGTCATGTAGAATATGGAATATTACGATAAGAAAATAAATTTTAAATCTAATCGATTTAAAAAGCTAGCTCATAAAATAGAATTATAAAATGTCATAAGAAAACAGTTGTTCCATTTTTTCAACTAACGTGACACTTCACAAGACAGGAAAATATATGTCATCACCAGGTAATATCCCAGAATGAATCTGGAAATCCCCTTGTCCTCTTGTTTAATGTTACCTCGTGGCTGTATTTTTTTTTCAACATACAATCAGGGGCGGTGCATTCCTTACGGTTTCGGCCGAACCCAGTAGGTTCAAATCTTATATTTATCTTTAAAAATTCATTGAATATATACAAATTATTCATTTAAAATCCAGTAACTAAAAATGATTAGAATCTTCGAACCCATAAATTTTAAATCTTGACTACGCCTCTCCATACAATACAACAATTTCATCTTAAATTTCCATTTCCAAGACCTTGATTGTCCAAATTTCAGAAAGAAAAGATAGAAAAGACTCCACCGTGTAAAATGAAGAAGTTACGGGTTCGTAACTTCGGCTTGGGCCCTCTATGTGTGTTAAAAATCCAACTAAATAAGTGCAAAAATAGATTTTGAACCCAATAAATTAGACGCGTTGTGATAGAATTCTAAATTTGAACCGTTAAAGTTCAAATCCCGAATCAGCCTCTGATTGTCTGCGGGAACCTAATCAACTTTGGCGAAATGGTTTCTCCATGAGCTCAATGATGCTCCGCAATCCAGATTTATACGAAGGGTAAAGCAGTCTCACTCCCAGTTCCGATTTAATGCGTTTATTGGAGACTCGCTTCTCTACCCTTGAAGCTCCCTGTGGATTTAGAGACGTTGCGTCTTCAGAAGACTTGTTTGAAGTTAAGTGGCCTGGCCATTTCTTCTCAACCAAGTTCCTAGCAAACGTAAATACCTGCTCTCTAGGAGCAGGGTCATCATCAACTACGTTGTATATCTTCCTGAAAAGCCAAACCAGACAATCAATTGATTAAAAATGAAATTAAGAAGCTAATTACATAGAATTCGAAAAGTTCAATCATCAAAATGACCTGGAAGTTATTGCACAATAGAAACCATAGGAGTAGAAGCAAACACACAAGTGAGCTAAAAGCGTCTACACCAGTTTCATGCCAGTCAAACTATTACCAACTTCAGAGGCTTAATTTAATAGATCAACACAGCAGTATTCAAGAATTAACTTAGAAAAATAAAAGGAGAAAGAAGCTTCATCAACATAATCATGTAATTTACTTTTTGAGACAATCTTATTGGGTGAGCGAACGTACCCAGGAGATGGCCTCTGAATGCTCGCCTTAAGTGCCTGGCAGATGTCAGCAGCGTGAATACGTGATGTATAATGCCTAGAAAATCTCATCTTCTGACCTTTTGACAGAGGCTCCTGCTTGAGAATGGTGTCAATAGCACTGCATAAAACGACGTCTAAAGGATCAGTGAGCAATTAAATCAAAAGTGCTCCCTCAGACAAAGTGCTAGCTTGTAATATACTTTGAGAAAATACAATTTCAATGTCCAATTAGAGTAACACATCATAGCTGTGTATACACTTCACTACCTTCTACCAGGACCGTATATACCACCCAGTCGAAATATTTGGGCAGTGACTCCCACATCACAAGCCAGATGTAACCACCCTTCCTCAGCAGCCATCCTTGCTTTTGCCGATTCAGTTATCGGCCTTGGTGGAAACCTGCCATATGATAATATACATAAATCTAGGATGACTACTCTGAACGCACCAAAGAGATTTAAACGCTTGGTTAATGTAAACTTACTCTTCATCAACCCATGCACCACCAGAGTTGCCATAAACACCTATTAGTCCAAAAGAAAAAACGAAATTCTCAGGATCAATAGTCAATACTCAATAACATACTTTGCGCATACAGTCTGTTTACAGTAATCTTTTTACCATGTAGCAATGTAAATACTTATGCTTTGGTTTATCCAAGGAAAGAAGCTAGCATGTCACATGGGATATATGTTCTTTTCAGAATATAAAACCAGAAATATACTCGTACTCCCTCCATCTCAATAAGCCGACCTCCTTTACTTTTAGCTTCCCAAAAACTTGAGCTCTTTCTTCAATAGAAAAGTTTTGGGCACAATACGACATTGGCCGATCGGCCGAAACTAGTTGCGTTCACTAGCCACAAAATGTATAAAAGATATGTATTATATGTATGTAATACACACACATACAAAAAATATACATTATTAGGGAGAGGCTAAAAATATACATTTCTCAAAAGTTTTTTTCCGTCAAGTAATTTAGATCAATATAAACTTATACTAATTCATACATTGTTTCTAACTTGATTTTACATCATTCCTACAAATTGTTCCATTTGTTCACATCTCAAACGATTTATTAAACTACTTTTCCTATACCAGCCTCAATATAATAGTCCACCTAAATGTTTTATTATAATAAAGCTGGGGACAAATCAGGTTTAGCTTTTCAGAAAGGGGATGGTATGTTTCAACCTTCCTTACTTTTGGAAACTTTAAAGAAATAGGTGTAGGTAATCTTATCCAAAGATTCAAAAAAGAAATAGGTGTAGATATACTTCTCAAAATGTAAAAGGTGAACACACTGACCCATATAAGTCATTTTTTTTATTTTTTAGGCATTCGTTTGATAAGTGACTACAAACATAGATAAGCAAAGCAGTATACTTCAATGGACTTGAGCAAAGAAGCAATAAGAACTCAGCGGGCTTTTAATTTCGATGTAAGCCAAGAAAAACAATTAAGGTTGCTCTTTTATGTTGTTTTTGTTTTCAAATGTAGCTGTAACACCTGAATTGACAAACTAATCTCTCCAAGGGAAAAAGAAAAAGAAGTACATGAACATTCTTCATACAACCAATGGCTTGAGAGAGATCCATTTTTTCACCGATATAGTTGTAATTGCCTTAGAGAACGTAAAGTCACATTTACATAATTTCCTACTTGTCAAAACAAATTTTTCCTTTCTATAAGGAGAAAATAGATGAAGAGAAAGAATGTACCAAGTACTTTTGGAGAGGAGACTTGAAGAAAAAGAATTTTCAGTTCACCTTAATAATTGTGTTAGGTCAAAATCAGACTTTTGAATAATACAAATGCACATAGCTTCCAGCATTGGTGACAGAATAACGTACTCGTTGATGACAAGTAACCAAGCCACTGGAGGTTACCATCCTTCAGTCTTTCTTTTAGCAGCTCTTTATGCTGAAGCATCTGCAGTACACGCAACTATTAATGGACATAAAAGCAAATAGAAAAGTAAGTAAAAAACTTCAAAAGCTTTTCATGATATCATACAGCTCGCTTCCGGATTCAACAGTTTTTTGAAGGTCCCAAGTTTTATGGCTTCAGTGCATAAACTTACCTTATTGTTAGATTCAAAAGTGTTTTTTATAAGGTATTGTTACATTCAAAAGTTAACAATGTTCGATTTAACGATATTCCTAACTGTTGAACATAGTATCGAGACTGTCCCTAAGAAGAACTCTAACACCTAAAGAAGCAGAAAAAAAAAATTAAGGAAAAAAATTAAAAAGACACCATAATTAACTTCCCTATTGTAGCTTTACTTTTAACGCATAGTTCATCTAAGTTGCGCCGACTCATCGTTTTTGGTGCTGCACCCGTCTCGACACGGGACGGATGCGGGATACGTACCGAATTCGGTCAATTAACTTTGGATACGTTGACCCAAATCCATCAACAAATTAGGGGGAAATTTGAGATTTCGATTCTCAAGATTAAAAATAAAACAGATTTAAGACATGGAAAATGGCATACCTTCAATATTGTAGTACTTTTGTCTCATATTTGCTACTTTGTGTTTCAGAAAAAACAAGAATTCAAGGGGTCGTGTCCTTAGTTCGGGCTTGTGGTAGATAGTAGCAGCGTCACAGATGGACAGCGTCATAGATGGAGGGTTTTTCACAGAATATCTCACAAAATTTATAATGTCTTTATGGCTCTATTTTTTATAATTTCGAATTTTCTTAGCCGAATCCCCGCACCCGTACCTGGATCCGCACCCCCGAATCTTAAAATTTAGATTTTGCCGAATCCGACACTCGGATCCGTGCACGTATCGGATACCCACACCCAAATCCGAGCAACTTAGTAGTACATATTCATATAATGACAGAGAAAAGGTCATTGAGGAACATTTACGATTAACACCCATCAACAAAAATGTTGACATGGGAGGTCTCTACAATTAACACTGCCCACGCCTGACATATTGCTTACTAAAACTGTAGCATAATATTGAGCAAATTTACCGGATCACCAACACGCAAAACTGGAGGGATGGAGATAAGAAGGTGTGAGTGGCATTTCATGATATCAAGGACCTCAAGTCTGAAAGATAGAGCAGAAATACTAATCAGAACAGAGGGAAAGATAGGAACAGGGTTTCTTCTAAAAACCTACCTACATACATGGAGGTTTAAATATGTAACCGCTAACATGCACGCCTAGACCCGAAATCAATCGACACATTAGTCAAGATATATGAAAAAGGACCAAACTGTGACATTTTTACTTGATAAAAAAGACCAACCTTTGACCTCATTAGGATGAAAGTAACTGTTACAGAAGAAGTGAGAGAAGAACTGCCAAAGAGACTTAATTTGCTCTATAACAAAGAAAGTTATCGTTCACTTCATTCAGCTAAGTAGTCTGTAAAAGGGTAAATACAGAAGGAACAACCAGAAATCAATTTAGGAGTTCTTGGCTATTAAAGTCTTCGTTGCAAATCTTCTGATTCTCCACCAATTCAAAGTTTAAACATTATTACATTTATAAATAAGATTTCACTTACCTAATTTAAGTATAGCCACATGATTTGCCTTTTTTCGTTAGCCTCTTACAATTCAATTATTCTACTGTTGTTTTCATTGTAGTAGGTCCTTAGATGAGAATAAGCCGGTCTTTTTTCTGGCCATTTAGCCTTTGACCATGGGTCTGTAGTATCATGCAGAATAAAATCCCAAGGCAGTCACTCATCCCTAAACTGATACATGAGGAATTCAGGAAATGACCACCTGCAGCCAGATGGGTTGGTTCATTCATATTCAGCTTTAGACAAAATTGGCGGCAATGAACTATGTCATTATGATAAAGTTGAGGGCGAGCTTGGCACAATAATAGTGTGGCTCTTTTGGTGACACATAGATCACACAAGTTCAAGGCGAAAGCTACCTACAGTAGCCATGGAGCAGTAATAGAAGCTCCAACGTCCCCTCCACCCTCCCATTCCCATTACTTAAAGAGGAATATATATGACTTCATTTTGACCAATGAATATTCATGAGAGGGGGGAGAGGGAGAGATGTCTGGAAGACTCACTGTGGTTCATTGGCGTCAAATATATGAGCATGGAACCCCATTTCCTCTAATTTCTGTTTCCGGGCAGTAGTAGTACAACTTCCAGTAACTTCCCTACGCAATTCACATATGTTATATAAATGGTCAATCCCCAATATAGATTAACAGTTCGCTTCTTTCATAACTTCAACTAGTACGAAAAGAGGAAGAGAGATAAAGTAGAAGGTTTATTTACCATCCGCCGGTCTTCAAATCTGCAGCCAAGAATTGTCCTACGAAACCCATCCCCAGGATGAACATTCCATGTTTGGAATCTGACTTTTTAGTGCTCGATTCGTAACGTAGACTGCACCTGCTAATGGGGCAAAACGATGGCGTTTTAATAGAGGACACTTCGGCAGTTTGACCCTGCCGGAGATGAATTAACGCCGGCTGGCTTGGTAGCCGGCAAATGTCCATTAAAATAGCTCTATTCTGAAACTTAGGTAGCGGTTAATCAGAGGTACTCGTCTCTCAGTTAAGTGATAAGTGGAAAGCCGAAAGCTCCAAGCCCATCCCAGAGCTATTTAATATATGGCCCGTTTCAGTGACTTGGTGCTAATGGGCCAAATCGGAAAGCCCAATAAGAATGACAGTTGCACAACTCAGAAAACCTTTGCTTGTAGTTTCATGGCAAATACATAGTTTATCCCCTAACTTTGACGCCAAATTTCGCTGCCACACCCAGACTCAGAATTTGAATGTTGCGAGGGTACTACTGTGAATAAAAATTTGAGCAAATGCTAGAGCCGGAATTGTTTAACCCAAAAATATATTTTCCGGTCAAAGTCAATATGTAAAAAAATTGGGTTACTAATAACCAAGATGTACTTCATTTTCCCAACAATTTGAAGAACAAATCAATGAATGAAAATAATTGACAAAGAAAATATGAAATAGATTGGTAATCACTCCCAAAATTACGGTTTAGAATTTTGAGAATAAAGTAAAGAATGTTTGCATGAATTTCAATAATTATCTGATGCCATTACAAATGAGATTTCAGTCTTTATATAGGAGCATACAATTATAATGATTCTCTTACTTAATTCGGGCTCACTAATGGTATTAATTACCTTGATTGCCCGTTACCATATACAACTGTAACGGAAATATAATTAAAGATTTCTTGTAATCGTACCGATTTCCCTTCCTTATTCATGACAGGTATGTGTATCTTCCCTTCTTTACAACCTTTATTCATTTCGATCATGTTCCCCCTTTTACAGCTGTCAGGCCCGGCTTTTTCCTTAGTATAACTATGTGGGTGTTTCTCCCGTGCCTTTTCCGTATTCTTTAACTCATCTAATTAAGAATGTCACTTGTCACTATATCGATGTTCCACGTACCATGCTATGTCACCTTGTTGATAGTCCACATGTCTATGTCTTTTTTCCACATAGTCCCCTCATTTTCTGAATATTCGGGAAGTGGTAAGTATTTATGCCGGGAATTCTTTGCCGCCGTTTCTCAAGTATCATTATGCCCTCTTCAGAATCGATGCAACGTATGTCACATTCACTTAATGCCCATGCCATGTGGTTTCACATGATTGGTTCTACAGTTTCTCACTGCCTTTTTAGGATTTTTTTCTGCGACTGCATCAGTCACGAAGTGACGGTTCTATTATGACACTTCATAATGATCAACTTTGAGGGTAGTCGCATCTCCTTATAAATACTTCATCCTCTTTGATTTCTTGAAACCTTCCTCCTTCTTCCCCGTATCCATCATCTTAACCTTACTTCGTAGTTCTATACATTTCCTTTGTATTTTCTTTGTTAAACATGTCTTCTCCAATACCAAACTCTCACAAAGTTGTGATCGTGGATGAGCTTGCTCCTTTTACTGCCCCTACTAGGAGTAGGAGATGTGGTAGACTCTGTTGTTTCTCAAGAGTTTTCTTTCGTATAAGATTGTGAAACCATGAAAAATCAAGTTTCTTCTATAGCTTCCTTGTACCCTGCTGAACTCTATCCAAGTTTGATCACTCCTGGTCTTCTTTCTTTGGTTCGTCGAGAATGTTATTAGAAATCATATTTTCTAGTTTTAATTTCTGGTGCCAACCAAAGAATCACCTCTTACCATGTTGATTTTTCTTTCGTTTATACCCACCCATTCACTTTAGGTTTAAAACCTCCCATTTACCCAGTGATCATCGAGTTTTGTCGCTATTTTAATGTTTGCCTTGGCTAGATTGGTCCCATTGTGTGGAGGGAAGTAGTATGCCTTCGCTATTTGTCTGATTTAGTTTCCATTCCTTTTACCTTCCGTCACTTACTTCATCTTTACTCTCCCAAGCTGTTTCGTGAAAGGGTCTTTTCCCTCGTGGCTAGAAGTAAAAGGGTTTTAGTTAGCCCCGAGGATGACCGTGACCGAGGCCGGTACGCCCGTTTTGTTGCTGCCCCCACTAATGGATTAGTGAGTAAAGAAAACATGCTTTTTTCAGAAAAATAAAACTTTGCACGTAAGTATTTTTTCCTTTCCTTTCTTTGATGTCTTGAGTTCCTTCATGTAATCACATATTTATTTTTTTCAGCAACCATGGAAGTCTTTAAAGAAATTCCTGACTTCTGTGCTTGAGTAGAAAAAATGTTGACTGTTGCTCCTATGGACAAAAGATCTTGGAAATTTCTTTCACGAAAATTTGGTTGGAAAATGAAGACTCACGGTACTCTTCACTCTCGTAGTTTATTTCCTTCTTTACTTGTTCATATATAAATTTTTCATCATCC